GTATCACAGGGTTCTAAGGAGCTCAATATCATTGGATTGTTTTCCATGTTCATTGTTTTGGTTTAGCCACTTAACTAGCGACTAAAATATTCCAAGAAAGCAACCCTCAATGAGTGTAGTATCGAGTATCTACCAACTTCGGACTGCACCAAAGCCGGTCATCTCACTACCCCTAATAAAAGGCCAAGATGGTCAAGTAAGGTTCTAGGTCATTAGTGCTTAGTGACATCACTCAGCGGCCCCGTACTCTCCTTGATTGAACTCAAGGGTTACCGGTACTCACAAATATGTCGCACTAATATAGCTATTGCTTCAACCGTGTCGGTATACCCCGCACAGTTTCCACAATGTATTGCTATCTATGAATGTTTCCCAAATCCGGGTGTAGGATTTAGAGCCCAAACAAGAGAACCAAAATGTAAAGCAATCAAAGCAAACAATTAGTCATGCAAAAGGGTGATCTAGGCCCTAAGGTTACTCTACTTTTAGAAATTTCCCCAGCAGAGTCGCCAGTTCTGTGATACGGTGGGAGAACTGACTTGAGGTTTTGCGTTTGTTTTCGCAAATGTTTCGGTTTAGCAAGAGTCGCCACCGACTTTTTATTTTATCCTAAGGAAAGGTTAAAAAGCACAGGAAAAACCTTTGAGATGTTTTCTTGGGTTCGGGGAGTAGATTATAGAAAGGGAAGGTATTATCACCCTTTCTATCCATGGTTATCCATGGGCTCTTAGTTACTTTCTTAGATCACTTGCTTTGCATTTTCAATTGTTTGAAATGGTGCTTTGTGTGTGGTTTTGAAAGATGTTTTGAAAAGAGGCCATTGTTGTGGCAACCTTTGTAATGATCCATGTTTGAATGTATACAAAGGTGTATTGTCTTTTAAAAAGTTTTTCAATATTTTGAAAGTTGTTTTGAAATTGTGTTGTGAGGTGTGTTTTGAAAGATAGCAAGGATTGTTTTGCAAGATTGGTCAAGTAACCAAGAACTATCTACCCTAAATTTCTAAAAGATCTTTCTCATGTTTTAACCCTTTTAACAGTGTTGTTTCACCATTGTATTTGGTGAACAACCTTGTGTTAGGATGTTAACGGGACGGGCGCGGGTCATCGTTTAGACCATGAATGCAATAGTGCCAAGTATCTTTGGCAATTTTTTCTCAAGGGGCTTGATCATTTTTGTTTAGGAAACTTGATAGCGTCATCGAGGGACTATGATCATTTGATTTGTTTTTGTTTTGCCAAAGAGACTTAACATGCAACCATGGCCCATTTTTGAAGGCAACAAGTGGAGTAACCCTAAGGGTGCAAGTGTGCCTTGTGTTTGTTTTTCATGCATGTTTATCTTGAATTAGGTCAAGCTACTTGTTAATTGATTTTTTGCATACAAACCCTAAGTCTATCATGGCATAATTTGAAAGCTTTTAAATGCGGAAATTTAAATGCTAAGCTATTACAACCATGATTAGGGAGGGGGGTACAAGTTTGAATTTGGGGATATTTTGACAAGAAATTAAATTCTAAGCTATTACATCCATATTGAATATACAAGACAAATATCTAATATTTAAATAAGTACAAATAAATAAATATCAAATAAAAAATACATTATGCTAAAAAAGGATTTTTCATGTATGTAAAATTATTTTTCAATGTGAAATATAAACAAAATAAAAAGGGTTAAATTTTGATTATTTTTATGGTTTAGGGCAAAAACCCTAATTTTTGGATAAATAGTAATATTTATTAATTGTGTACAATATTTGTTAATTATATACAAAAAATAAAAAGTATATTGTAAAAAAGTATTTTTGATGTCAAATATTAAATAAAAAATAAAATGTATTATTTCTATATTTTTGTCCTAAATATTTAATAAAATATGTATATGTATATTTATATATATTTAATATGCTAAATATGTACAAAAAATAAAATATTAATTATTTACAAAAAAAATGTATATTTTAGAAAATGTTTTCAAAATAAAAAATAATGACTAAAAATAAATATTTTTGTATTATTTTTTAGGGTTTTAAATAAAAGGTTTTTATATTATTTACATATATATACTAATAAAATGAAACAAATGCCAAATAAATATAAAAAAATGTGGAAAAATATTTTTAATGTTTTTTTATGTTTGGACAAAAAATATCAAGTCAGAATAAAAAAATAAAAAGTCAGAAATGATAAATATTTCACACAATGGGCCAGGGGGTGCAAATGGAAAAAAGGGGTGCAAAAAGTAAGTTGACTCAGGCCCAACCCAAGTCAACTTTGTCTTCAACCTCCAGCAACCTTTGAACAACAAAAACGCGCGTTTCCTTGCTCCATTCAAACTCTTTATTCTTTGATTTTTAGCCAAAACTCATAACATAAACAATGTAGAGCATCAAATCACGATTCCAAATATGTAAAAAAACTTAACCTAACTCTAAGAAACCAGGGAGAATTTCTTCATCTCCAATTTCTGACCTAATTTTTCTTCAATGTTCATGGCCAAAATTCTCACAACATACTTAATATAAATAAAAAGTAAACACATGTATGGCTTCAGGGCTATGAGTAAAGCATGTTTCATTCACAAACCTAAGCTTAACTCTTCCTAGATTGAGAGATAGAAGTCCATGGTTTTACCTGTTTCAGCTTGACTTGAACAGAGCAATGTAGGTATCTTCAATGGAGTTTGAGCTTTGGTTAAGCTTGCCTGAAGTCCAAGGATGCTTCCCAAATGCATAGCTTGCTTTGAAACCAATTGTATCGTGTTATGGAAGTCCACCTGCAAAACTGAAAAATGAAAATGGCAGATGAGGTTAGGGGTGTTACAGCTAGTGTTTAGGGCTTGGAATAGTTTCAATGGATGGTATGGAATGTGTTTGCAAGGTTTTTAGCCAAAGTGCACGAGTGGATTGAGTTGTGGACCTCAATCTGTAGCAGGTACCCTGTTTTGGCAACAAGATGGTGTTTTTGTGTATGAGGAGGTATGAGGAGTAGTTCAGTCGTGCCTTAGGTTAGTTGGGATGTATGGAAGGGGAGAACAAAGTTTATGTTTGGCTGTGTTGACAGGAAATGGAAGTTGGCTTCAGTTTGCAAGGTTTCTTCAAATGTAAGCAAGAAAGTGTAAGTTTTTCATGCAGGCCTGTACCATCCTCTATGTATGCTGCATATCTTGCTCTTGAGACTTGTAACTTGTAGATTTGATTTGGCTTCATAGATATGGCCCCATGCCTCTTGGATTTGGTTTTTGACATAAAGTAACACTTTTCCAAAATGGCAAGTTAGCTTTTTCCAAATAAGGATTAATTCTATGTGTAATGCCCAAATGGATGAAATAATGCATTAGCTCAATGGTTAGGCATTTAATTATGGTGTGTAAAAATAGTTTTGAGGCCTGCAAGCTAGCTTTGTACAAGCTGATTTGAAAATGCAAGTTGCCATGAACATGCCTTGGCCATGAACAAAAGTGAATTTTGCCCAACTTTGTGAATTCGATTCTCTCTAACCACAAGGGTGTTTGATGAGTTCTTGGACAATTTGGAAAGCTTGGAATGTGTAATATAATCCATATTTGTAATGAAAATTGAAACTCCAAGTGGAACCATGTGAAAAATGGCAAAGAAGTTGGACAAAAATCATGCCTAGAATAGGGCAAAATTTCCCTAAGTTAAGAATGTTTTGCACCCTTGTTCCAAAAATCATAACTTGAGATACAAGCTTCCTTTGAGAAAACTTTGTGAATAAAAGTTGTAGATTTTTCAATGGAATACAACTTTCATGTTTCAAGTTTTGTTTGAATCCATTGGCATCTTGGTGAAAAAATGGGGCAAAGTTAGGAAAAAATAATAACATTTCATAACTTAGAAAAATTTCTAAGTTATGAAATTTTTTCATTTTAAACCCTAATTTGCAAATTTGGATTTCTTGATGAACAAGTTTCATAATTTGACATGTCTTGATGAAAAATGAATCTTGGCACTTGATTTTGACCAAAAAGTCAAAGTTTGACTTTTCAGTATATAGTCAAATTTTGATCCGTTGACTGAAAAATTTATCTGTCAATCCTATGCATTTGAGATCTTTTGAACTTGTTGAATGGGTCAATACAATGCCATTGAGTCCTTGAGTCCATATATGAGCTTGGTTTGCCATTGGTTAGATCAAACAGTCAAAAATTACCTTTGTGCAGTCAAAACCCTAAAAATGACCATTTTGCCCTTTTGGGGATCTGATCAAATTTCTTGTGGAGTTGTGATCCAAACTTTATCAAATGATTCATATGAGTTCATAATGTTGGTGTGGGTCAAAAATAATGAGGTTTGACTGTCAATTGGCCACAGTTGACTTTTACCCCAATACAACTGATTTATAGGTCAGCTGCCCAATTGACTGGGAAAAGATTGGAATCAAGGCTTGAAACTTGGTATGGATAAACTTGTAAGTCCAACATGAAGCATGAAAGTCACTTTGGGCATTTTAGGTCAAAACATCCATGTGCAAACTCAAACCCTAATTTGGGTCAACTGTGCAAGGAGGGGTCTTGAGCAGAGCAAACCCTATCTTGATCTTGAATTCCAAGAGTCTTGTGATGAAAAAATGTTGCTGAAAAGGGAGGGCAAATTTTGGGGTACAACAATAACGTTTTAAACCTTATCTCGAATAATACCTTATTTCGCAATTCGAATTTCATAAACTATCCATCAATTTCAAATTTGAATCTTCATGGTTTTAGACAAACCAAATAGCCAAACAATTCTCTAGGTATATTCAGACCATTGACTCAACTCAATTTCTCCTTAGCTGAAATTTCCAACCAACAGTATGTTGGCACGCCGTTGGACAAAATCTTTTTCTCCAATTTTAGGCAATTCTCTTGGTGATTTCGATTGTTTAGTTAATATTTTAGAATATTTAAAAGGGATTCCTAAAGAGAATGGACTCGATACTCGTATTTTTTGGCTAGTGGAAGCAGTTTGGCACCTCTACCTCAGTGTTTAGGTATTATCACTTATTATTTTTTGTCGAAGATGATAGAGTCTCAGCCTGTGGAACATATACCTGTTGGTAGTTCCTATCAGTCTTAAGTAGACCTTCAAGAGCTAGACCATACTGCTTTGGTTTCTCCTTGCTAAGTACAGGTTCCTGACTTGAGCTCAGATTTTATTCTGGATCAGAGGCCATAGACTTTCTCCTTTCCTCATCTTGAATCACACTTTTGTCATATTACCCTAGTAGGTTCCTTTATAAGTTGTTGGTTAAATTGCTTGCCACCAGACTCGGGTCTATGATCGAGAACCTTATTTCCCTTAACCAATCCCCACCTTGAGTTTACTTGAAAACCTTTGGTTGCCTTTTTGAAAAAAAGACTCATATCTTGGAACCATAAATATGTTAGTTTGAGGGATATAATGGTTTTCCTTTATTCAATCCTTAATTCTATTCATATATTCTTTTTTCGTTTATGAAAATGATTGTTATGATTTAGAAGTATATTTTGAATTTACAAAGAAATTTCCTTTGAAGGGGGTTTAAGAATGTGGCTAAGATTCCCAGGGTGAATTGGGAAGATGTGAGTAAGCCTAAAGTTATTGGGGATTAAGAGTGAGGGATCCCTGGCTGATTAATCCTGCCCTTCTTGCAAATTGAAGATGAAGATTTCTTGTAGGGGAGTCAGGGCTCTAGAGGAATATTCTAATAGCTAGATAGAAAGTTATTTATGTCTCTTCCCATGGTGGAGGTATGGCTAAGGGTTTACTACAAGAAAAATGATAGATTGGGATGGTTATTTTGGCTGATTACGACGGTTAAAACCGTCGCAATTTACAATCTACGACGGTAGAAGTACCGTCGCAGAATCGTGCGTCCCCAGCCTATTTCGCGACGGTTGCAAAAACTGTCACGCACAACAGATAGCGACGGTTATATACCGTCGTGAATTTGACTTTATTTTTTGTTTTTGTTGTTGTTTGCGACGGTTATTCTACCGCCGTAGGTTAGAAATTGCGGCGGTTTTAACCGTCGTAATCTGATTTATAAATTTCAAATAATATTTTTATTTAAATTATTATTTAGTAAAATAATTTTAAATATAATATTATTTTACTATAATATTTTACTATTATATTTAAATTATTATTTACTTTAATATTTTTTTATTTATAGTATTTTTATTTTATTTTCTATCACTTTTCAACATAATAAAGTTAATTACAATAAAAACATTTAATATCAAATAATCATCAATAATATCAAAAAAATGTGATCAAAGGTAAAAAGAAGTGCAAATTTTACCAATAAACAAGAAAAATTCAAATATCATCAAAGGCCAAATTTCATTTTAATATTTACATTGGTTTGCTACAACTCGAGAGAATTACAAAAAATGTTACAATATTCTACAAAATTCATGAAAGTCCTTAGTGTTAAGTGATTTTGTGTTAAACTTCCATGCTAGGACCATGATCCTTCCTTGACTACCATTTGGTCCAAGCTACGCATACCTAGCAGCCTGCAAGATTCACACAAAACATATTTTTGTACTCACAAGAACATGTGGCAGGTTTTTGGCATCATAATATGCCTCAGATGGCTTAGTCAATGTCTTTGTGATGACATGTTTTTCCAATTCTACTTGTCCATTTTGCGCTTCTTCTTGTACCTGCATTACAAAACTAACTGTCAATTACGGGCTGGCAGAATAACTCTCACAATCAAACTCCAATTGTATGAAAAGTTATAAGGTACAGAAAAATCAACTACAACAAAATCTCCAATAAAATAAAATTCACTTTCCGCTAAGGAGAAACCTAATCAAATTTGGATATGTATCAAGGCGTCTTGGCGACAAACTTCCCTGTTATAGCATTTGAATTTTCAGCAAAGTGTAGGAAGCTCAAAGATCCAAGTATATTTCTTTTTAAATTCTACAATCGCATGCGTTTACGATAAGAAAAAGTATGATACAATAAGACACCACAAATATTTACTCTTCCAATTTAAAAAAGAAAACATTAAGTTAAGTTGGGGCATTTTTAAAAAACCATTGATGTTAATAATCGCATAACAGATCTTTGTTGTTTGACATAACAGAAAATATGTGAACTTGTATCTGTAATGCATGCGAGTTTTTTTACCATAGTGAAATTATTATAAAAAGTAACATGAGTGTTATACTTACATTCAAAAAGTAAAATTGGAAAACATTTCCAAACAACATGTAGATCAATAAAGAATTTGTTGTGCTTAATTGACAAATACCTCAGGTTTCTTGATATAGTAATTTGAGTGGCAGCCATATAACATTGCCAATGCTCCGTGTGAAGCCATGGCTTTTTGCGTGAAAGAGTGAACACCCTGCTCCAGCCTTATGATAGTCCGCTTAGTTTCTTCGTGTTGATATATTGATACTAAATTGTAATCAGAATATAAATTGTTAATCTATAATAATGTCAAAAGAAAACAATGAATTACACAAGCAAATTAAATTAAATTTTTATAGAGACATGTGGATTTTTTGTTCTTTTGATAGACATAGGTTATGGCAAAAACATTCACGAGAACTGAGCCTATCCATTGCCCAAATAGCTGAAGCACCCTCACATACCATGAGATAGCATAAAAAATGCAACAGGAAATAGAAGTGTTCTTTAGTTGAGCCACTAATTAATACTAGTTGTCTCTTTTTTCAATAGGAAATACAAAAGCAAATTAGCAAGTAGCACAAACCAATAGTATTACCTTCTTCATTCTCATATAAATCCTGAACATCAGGTTCCAAGTCCATTTCAAGTATCTGTAGGAGAGAATCATAAATAACTTAGAAAATTACAAAAATTGTGGAAAAGGTTAAGCCAACTGTTGACCGAAAGGTCAACAAAACATGCCTTACCATCGCCTCTATATCAGAATAATAAGGAATATCATTATCACTTTCGATATATTGCTCTTCCCCGTCTAAGTTTTCAGGAATAACCACCCGCTCTGACCTTAGAACTTCTGTAGAACCCATTTCAGCATGTTGCAATTTATTATCTACAACTGGCAAAGCTACATTTTGTTCCTGTCTCAAGCAAGAACCATTAGGTTGGACATGATCTATGAAACCATTTCCGAGGGATGGGTTCTCATGTGACAGACTTGCCACATTATTGCTTTGATGTTTTACGAAGCTAGCATTGACAAGCTTTTCCTTAGGATTTGCATGTAGAGCAGTATGAGTTTTGTTTGTTAAACTGTTGCTTCGACCTAAGCCACTGGAAGCAATAACTTCACTCCTAGACAGTGTGTTTGATGAATGGTTGTTAGGTAACTCATTTATTTTAGAACCACAAACAGGCCCTGAATTTCCTCGGCTTCCTGTTGTCTGCGAAGGCACATGACTCCTAACTCTTGTTCCTCATCCCACCATGACTCCCAACTCTTGTTTGAAGAAACACCAATACCACCTCGACTACTAATCCATTTATTCCAATCATCCCAGTCCTCAACTATCTTCTGCCATTAAAATCCTGATGGATTGAAAAGGAAAGGAGCAAACAACCAAGAGCTAACCAAAAACCACATTGACCATGACAGAAATGCGTATGCTACTGAGTCAGTTGTTGCTGATCCATAAATCATATAACAAATGAGCAATATTGTGAGCTCAATCCCTTTGACAAAGTGACTCCTAGAGTACATCCTGTAATTGTCTGCAAACTTTTCATGACGAACGAAAAATCCATGCCAAGTTGCTCTGTACTTTGCCCCTCCATGCAGGAGAGTGCGCCCAAAATAGTGCATTTTCGTTCCAAGCGAGAAAGTAAAGAAAACAGGTGCCAGCTGTAACTGCATTATTATGAAGTCACCTAGAGCAGTTCTGAACCCTCTCTCTAGTCCAATTTCCATGACCATGGGCAAAGTCGTTAGAAGTCCAATTTGAACAATTGATTGTGAAGCTATTGCCGCCATTAATGTATCCTCTCCCTTTCTCTTAGCAAATTTCACTATTGCAGCCTCAAATCCACTTAGTGACAGGTACAGTTTACCATATAGGAAAGCATAAGACATAAGGACCACAATCTGTAAATCAGAAAAATAAATACTTATTGCCATATGCAGAATATCAAAAGAGAAAAACACAAATTCTAGTAGGTTACATTTAATAGTTCCCCACAAGAAATTTTCAGCTCTCAATGTAACAACAATCATTCAAGTATTTTAAAGCAGGAACAAATTTATTACCAGATCCACTGCTCATATTGGGATTGATTTTTTTAAAAGGATCTGTTAGTCTCATTTTAATAACCAAGTCTATGATTGCCTTTGAAGTGTTTAATCATATCAACTTCTTATAAGACAAGTTAAAATTACTATATATAACAAAACACAAGTTGAAGCTGTGTTGGATTCAGGTCAAAATACTAACAAAATCAAACGGCTAAAAGTTGTTACTCTTGGAAAGACTTATTGATATACTGTACTATACAACACAACATACAATTTATTATTTCAAGATCGTTTGTCTTACTATGCAGTAGTTGAATGGGAAATGTAGATGCTGGCCTCTCAAGAACCAAGCTAAAAGAACTTGTTTACTCATTTAGCACTTTCCTGAGTAGAATTAACTGCTAAATATGTTCTTAACCCCTATAATTAGTTAACTTCCTATGTTAATTCCCTAATTAATTATTGAAAACCACATTCAACTCAAAAAGTAAAATCAGAAGCCATACTGTGTATCTCCAACGTCTTTAACAAGACTATTCTGAGATGAATCACCAGCTTTCTTCAAAGTATCACCGACCATAATTATTCTGGACTTCTCCGCATTACCCTACAATAACAACAACACAAATCACAAACCTTCGTCGGTTTATCAAAATGAACCTCAATGAACCTTCATCGATTTATTACTTGAATATATTAAGAAGCTGCTGATATTCAGAATCCCCCGGAAACAAAGCATGTCTCCTCACCATTTCAGCTGCATAAACAAACAAACAATCAATCAATCAATCAATTACATTTCCATCATTAATAGAGAAAGAAAAGTATCCAAATCACAAAAACCGTCTTAAGAGATTCACGATATTCTCCCTCATGAAAATAATCCCCAACTCAATTCCATTCAATTTGATTCCTAAAGTCATATTTGGGATGCAATCCAACTCAACCGAAATCATGAAATACTTTAAGGCACCTTAGGTATTATCAATAGCAGATCAAAAATTTTCATTTGAGTTCCGCTACACATCACTGCCGCGAATCCACCTAATTTTACACAAAACCCTAACAATTTGTTCAAATTATACTATGTAGTGCAACAATTCTACTATGAGATCCAAAACCCTAATTATGGTAAATTAGCAGCAGCAACAAGAAGAAGTAGAAAAAAGAATTGAAATCGAGAGAATGACGTACCAAAGATACATCCAACAGACCAGATATCAACTCTAGTAGAGTAGGTAGTAGATCCAAGCAAAACTTCAGGAGCTCTATACCAAAGAGTAACAATCTCATGAGTATAACTCTTAAGCGGGACGGTAAAAGCCCTCCCAAGACCAAGATCAGCAATCTTCAAAATCCCTTGCTGTTGATCGAGAAGCAAATTCTGCGGCTTCAAATCCCGATGAGATTGAAGCGAAGAAGGTGGTGGTGGTTGTTGTAGAAGATGGAGAGGGAAGTGGGGGAGAAGGAAGAAATGTTGTTGGTGGTGGTGAGTAGTGGAGATGAAGATGGAGGGAGTGGATGGAGGTTGAAATGAAGAGAAGACATGGTTGTGGTGGAAGCCAGTGATGTCGGGCAGCGACGAGAAGAGAAAAAAGGAGAAGCTTTTGGACCTGTTATGTTCTTTTGTTAGAAAATCTTTTAATTTTTTTATATTAATTTAATTTGATAAATATATAAATATATTATATTATTATCACTTTTTTGTAGTGTACGGGGCGACGGTTGTTATACCGTCGTGATGTGTATTTTATGGCGGTTTGTTAACCGTCGCGACATTGATTTTAGGGCGGTTTAATAAAAAACTGTCGCAATATTTAATAATTTTTTAAATATATAAGGACGATTGGTGTATACCGTCGTAAAATGTGTCTCTATATTAGAATTACGACGGTTATCAAGTAACTGTCGCAATTTTTGTGTCGTAAAATCCTAATTTTCTTGTAGTGGTTTTCACTCTTTATATTGCTGGTGGAAAGAGATGTCTCTTCTTGGGACAAAAGAGGAGCGCGTATGTGATTGGTTTTCAAAAGGTCTTATTAGAAATGTGTGGTCGGGTTTGCATAGTTCCTTTTGGGAAGACCCTTGTAAAGATAGCATCCCCTTAAAGTTTAAGTTTCCTGGTTTTTTCCTCATATCTCTCCATCCATAAGAGATGGTGGGCGATATTGGAGAGGTTATCAATGGGAACACAACTTGGGACTTTAGATGGATGAGACCCTTGTTTATTAGAGAGATGTTTGTTGTTGACAAGTTTCATGCCTTTCTTAGAGATGTTATCCTTACACTGGATAAAGACATGTGTTTTGGCATCAACTTCGCTTACTTCTTCACTTTTTCCTTTTGATTTTTCTCAACCTCTTTTTCAACTTCTACCTCTTCTTCAATTTTTTCTCACCCTCACTTGTTTATTTTCTATCATCAATAATATTTGGTTATACAACACTATTTCTCAACTCAATGGCTTTGCAAATTTCATTTTTGATTTATCTATCGTATTCCCAACAAATCCCACACTTGAACTACATTGCACTTCCATTTGTCTAGATAATTGACCAATTTTCATTTCTAAATTTTTGATGGAAGATTTGGTGTTCTTACTCATGTTGTCTTGACTCTTGGTCATTTCTATTTGGGTCTTAAACACTGCTTCCTAATTCTTTTCTACTTGTTCAAAACTTGACTGAGCAACTTTCATAAATTTGGTCAAGGCTTCTTCGAGTGGTGACGGTTTCCTTTATGGTGGTTGAGGAATATGTGGAACTCCCTGATTTGCATTCAAAGTTTTATTATTGCACCACATAAAATTTGGGTGATCTTTCCCTCAGGATTATATGTGTTAAAATAAGGAGTCTTCTTCTGAAAGTTTGCATATTAAGCTTCAACACTAGCCCCCTCTACGTCGAGGGAGAAAATCATGGGATTATTTAAAGAGAATAAAAGCATTTTGAGTGCTTTTGAATGCACCTGAATCTATAACATGAATTTATTTTCTGAAGATTAATTATTTTTGCTATCAAGATAAGGTTAAATAACTTGGATAGAATTTAGGGGGAGCTTAAGAACTTTAACCTTTTGACTATTAGACTCAGGCGGAGCTTATAAATCTCAGATTCTAATGTTTTCAAGTTAGTTAAACTGACCCATCACTGTTCTTAAATACTTTTGTTTGTCACCAACAAAAAGAGGGATATTGTTGGAATAAAATTTTTCATATCCCTTGGGTTTTGATGATAACAAAGTACTTAAAGAACAATTGGATATACTAAAATATGTTTAAGTGTGCAGGATCATAAGCTTAAAAATTAACTTGCTTCTGACCCTCATAAGAGCATATGAATAGAAGCTAAAGGATTCATATTCTAAAGGATTAGAATCTAATGACTCAGAACTTGATATCTCAGCTTCTGATGACAGCACGGACTATAAAGACCTGAGTTAAAGGTACTTAACTCCATCAAATTTGAATCCAGTAAATATACTTAATTCCATTAATTTTCACACCTGCAAATTCAATCCTCTTTAACTTTGGTCTAAAACTCTTGGTGCTCTACTCTTTGACATTGTTCATTACATAAAATAATTATTTTTTGCACGTAGGTTTAAATTTTTGTCGATTTTCTTTGTAAATGTGTTTTTATGATTTAATTTTTGTCAATTAGTTATGTTAACCGTTTTTTTAATTAAAATTTTATTACTCCCTCATGAATACAATTCTTTTCTACAAGCTCATTTTTAATTTGTCAATCAAATGTAGATTTTCAATTGTGAACCATTGAAAATCTATGTTTTTGAACTTAAGAACATATGTAACGAACCTCCCATTATAGGACCATGTTTAGGTGCAGTAAAAAAGTTTTCTACAATCACAATCATATGTACATTTGTACTCCCAATTTTCTAACAATATTCTTTTATTAAAATTTGAAACCACAAAAACAAAGGCTCTGTCAATTTCATTGGTGAATACCAACACTATAAAAGTAAACATTACATATAGAGAAAAAAAGACTACATGTTTAAAACAAACATGCATTGTGAGAAAATGTAAGCACACAAAATTTCCATGACAAAAGTCTGAGCAAATTGAAACATGAGAAATGCAACTTAGGAATACAACACACAAAAAACCCCTCAATTTGAATGGAATTCTGGACTAGATAGATCAAAATCCATTTGGGTTGAAATTAACATTGTCAAATGGTAGCTGAGAGAAGTTGATAGAAAATCGATCATCATTATGCATACCATAATTAATGTTCATCTCAAAACCTTGGGTAGTAGAACGATCCATATTAGCCAACATATCTTCTTCTTTAACGGCTCTAGCACCATTTGCAACCTCCTCTTGGTCATGGACATCCATTGAATTCAATCTCTGCTCAACTTCCTTCAAACTATTGTCAATAAAAGCTTTCAGGTTAGTTACCTTAGTCAAGCTCATATTTTCCATGCTATATTCACCTGTATGCATAAATTTACTAATAAGATAAGTCATTTCCTTCTGTTGGTTTTCCTCGATTTGTTTTCTCAACTGATCTTGGACTTTCATAATGCTCTCTGATAAGAAGTCTTCCAAATCTATCATTTTTCTGCTTCGTTCAAGTTCAGGCAATCTCATGAACCGGTACAATACACTTCTTACTCCAATCCTAGATGGCCAAACCTCTGCTTTAGGAGAGTTTTCTCCATAGATGATTGCGCATGCATCTACCCCGCAAAGGATGCTGAGTTCTTCGATCTTTTTTAGAATACCTATTGAAAATATTTAAAAATTATATATAATTGATAGGGAAATTGGAAACTTACAAAACAGTAGAGAGATTTTTTATTTATTTATAAGTATAGCTAAATTTTCGATTGGAATGATTACGAAATTTAAATTTGAGTTTTATTTATTTTTGCTATACAAATATATTTTTATATAAATCAAACATTTTTGCATGCAACTACAAAAAAATAAATTTTCGAGTGAGAGAACATCTTTATAGACGAAAAAAACCATCTCTTAAATACTAATACACAATAACTTTTTTTTTATGATAGTAGTATTAAAGCACAACTAAATTACCAAACAAATACAATTGGTTTTTTACACCAATAAAATATTTTATTGCCGCCGCGAAACTTAACTTGTTGATGAGAATTGTGAAAGTCGAAAGCTATATATATATATATATATATATATATATATATATATATATATATATATATATATATATATATATATATATATATATATATATATATATATATATATATATATATATATACACGTTATTACCATTAATAACTTTTATTAATTTAAATAAATAAAAAAAAGTCTAATTCAATGTTCGCAACAAAAGTCTACATTCCAAATAATTAAAACATAAATTTATTTTAAAAATTTGAAAATAGACAAATCCAATATTATTGAAAAATATTGTAAAAATAACTTGATATATATATTTTTTATTTTTTTATGAAAAAGAGGGCCTAAGCACAACAAAACGAAGAAACTACACCAGCATTTCTAAAGATGTACCAACTCTAGCTTTATCAGACCCCAACATTAAACCTATTGGAGCTTCTATAAAAACTTGAAAAGACTTCTTAAACACCCCCTTGTTAACAAAAGCGTCAGCAGACAAATTTGTTTTTTATAAAGACACGATAAAATATATTTTGATAAAGAATTTCATTAAGTTGTGAAAATAAAAGAAAATAAATTGTTAAAAAAAGTAATTTTTTGCAGTTTTATTAAGGGAAAATACATATAAATATATATGAATATGAGAGGAGGCAACAAAAGGTCGAAAATATACAAGAAATTCGCTATGTTACCAGAAGTATTATAACAAGATCCCTAGTAAAGATGAAAAAATTATACAGGATATCAACGATAACAGTTAGATACCAGGTACAAGGATAAGTAGTTACTTAAATCAGTAAGAAAAAATAAAGCAAAAAATCCATCATATATACGAGAGGCTAGATTTTAACCGAAATAGAAATTATCAATAAATAAACGAAAAAACTCACTCATTCAAGGATTAATTAGTCCTGCTTAACATTACAAATGATTAAATTCTAGGAATATCTATAAATAAGCGTAAAAAACAATATTAATTATGTAAAGGTTTTCGCTGTTTCGTGATACTGATTACAGTCGATGCGGTTTAATTAATCACAATTTATTCTTTAACATAAAAACGATAATAACGGTATCACAATTTATTTTTTAACATAAAAACGATAATAACGGTATAGTACTGATATTTTTCGATAACGTTTTGTCGCAACCGTTTTCACAGTTGCAGCTCATTTTTTAAAACCTGTTCATAAACACCTGCTTGGAATCAAAACACTAATTATGGTGGTTATGAAAAAAAAAAGTATGATATGATGGATAATACATGTGTTAATTGAAACTAAAGCAAGACTTATCTCTAACCACTTTTCTTTTTTCTGAATGTTGCTCTCCTAGTTGAGTTATTCATTATGTATGCAAGTTTCACCTTCCCTCTAGCCATGACACTGATTATCAACAAACTAAAAGAAATGAGTAAGAGTGAAATTCTGAAAAATGATATTTGTTATGCTTTTCTTATTACTCCAATTATTAACCTTATATATATATATATATATATATATATATATATATATATATATATATATATATATATATATATATATATATATATATATATATATATATATATATATATATATATATATATATAAAATATTTGTATTCACAAAAGAAAATATTAAAAAAATAATTTGAGATATTAGATGATTTGAATTTAGAACAAATGAGAAATTATTATTAGGTCCAAAGTTACGATTTACTTATCGTAATTCTAGAAAAAATTGTTTCTATCTACGGGCTTTTTAAAATTTTAATACAAATATTAATTATTATTTTGTCAATAATAATTACGGAATGCAGAATAAATTAATATAGATAATGATAGTAAAAAAATTATATTTAAAATAACAATTTATTGTTATTTTGGTAGATACAAAATAAGTCAAAATAAATGGAGGGAATACTTTATTATAACATTTAATAAATTAGCTTCACTCAAATTTTTTTCATAGTTTTAATTTACAATATGGAGTCTAAATAGCTTTCAATATTGTTTATTCAATGAAATATATTACTTTTATTTCTCTGACATAACATATACAACTGTCTATATCTTTGTATCTTGACATTAAATATCTTTTCTTTATATATCATTTAAAATATATATTTGTATTAATATTTATATATATATGTAAATAATTAAGAATCAACTTTGACTATCGACCTATACAGTACACTGACATATGATTATTTTTTACATTTTTGTTAAATATAAAATATGGATGAGTTTCTAGAGTGAATTAGCCCAAATAATATGTGCTAATTTAGTTAAGTAGGTATAAATAGTTGGTTTAGTGTTCAAAACTAATATATATATATATATATATATATATATATATATATATATATATATATATATATATATATATATATATATATATATATATATATATATATATATATATATATATATATATATATATATATATATATATATATATATATATATATTTGTACATTGTACGTATAAGTCGGTTGAGGTCTTTTAAAGGTCAAGACGGAGTTGTAGGACAAGTGAAATCGGGATATAAAGTCGGGACGTACGAAGAATACACCCGTCTGAAACACGGAGCACATAGTCGGAAGCGCCAAACCGGATGACGGCCTATTACGGGCAAGTGAACAGCCAAACCAGTGACAAAATGCTAAGGGTTATTGATGGAGTTGGTTACGTGAAATTGATGAAGACGTTACAATATTTAATGAGAGGTTACAAACCTTACGAAGCATTTTTATATTCATTATATCAAGGATTATACTATATAAAGGGGCTCCCACCGGATTAAGCAAGACCATGATGATCTTGGGTGCACACACTCTGTGATCGTGCCACCCGAATTCCCCAACCTATCCAACCTCTTCCTCCAGGACCGGAGCCGATGAATGGCACAAAAAGGAGTGAAGACCTTGGAGGTCACCAACAATGGTGACCTTCCTTCTATAAATAGTGGTTACTCGCTGGATTCCTATCCGGGAAAGTAATCCAAAGATGTTCTTCGGGAATAATTGGCGCAGTCTACGGGAATCCGGTAAAAATTTCCCGTGCCACATAAACATTCATATGTGGTGACTATTCTGAAACTCATTGGTGTGCGGTCCTTCGCAATCACTCGGCCCTCACTATCCCAGTACAGTGGATGAGCTATGCCAAATTTCTAAATCATCTTTTTATTTGATTTAATAACGTTAAGCTTTCGGACTATCAAGCACAGTATCATCATTTAGTGATTGAATGCACTGTTTAGAAATAATACCTAATTCTATTATTATTCATAGATTATGTAAGCATGTTATGTGGGAGTGCGAGAAATTCTTAAGGTTGCAGATGCGAATATAGTTCTAGCATGTAACTCATATCAGATGTTAAATCAGAGTGTGCAGATGTTGATTTGGACGTATTTCGCAATGATTCCCATCACTCCCGTAAATTGGAATCCTAATATTCTATTGGTGACGTCTCAGTCACGGCTCGAAGATCATGACGCAACTTCCAGTCTCGAGCAGCTTATAAAAAGACAGCATCAATATGAAGCTATTATCAGATACGGTATCAGGATGAAGTAATTATCTGATGTTGTCAATTTAAAATCGTGTGAACCACAAAGATAAGTAACATGCTATTCATATTTGGCTAATTAAGTGTTCATGAGTATTAAGATTGTATCTCTGTGTGTCAATATGATCACACATGGTATATATTTATATGCAAATAGGTAATATACAATAGGAAATAATATCAATTACAGTTATGATTAATTGAATATCAACCAATACTAATTGATTGATAACAGATTCTTAACACTCTCCCTCAAGTTGAATTATATATATTGTATGATCCAAGCTTGTTACAAATATAATTCACTCAAGAATCCGTGAGAGACTTGGTAAACATATCAGCCAATTGATCTTAAGATTTGACAAATTCCATGGTTATTTCACCTGACACTACCTTGCCTCTTACATAGTGACAATCTATTTCTATGTGCTTGCTCGGTTCATGGAAAGTTGGATTGGACGCAATGTGGAGTGCCACTTGATTGTCACATATGAGTTTTGTGGCCCGAAGGTCATTGAACCTAAGTTCTGAGAGCAAATTCTTAAGCCGTGCAAGTTCTTTTGAGGTTGCTGCTATAGCCTGATATTCAGCTTCAACACTAGATAGTGCAACTGTGTTTTATTTCTTTCTCCTCCATGAAATCATATTTCCTCCAATAAGAACATAATATCCAGAAGTGGATCTCCTATCAGACGGTGATCATGTCCAATTTGCATCTGAATAATAAGTGATTTTAGCATCACCCTTATCTTCATATAATAGGCCTTTTCCTGGTGAATTCTTTATATATCTGATAATATGAATAACTGCATTCCAATGAGTATCACAAGGAACATTAAGTAATTGACTCACAATACTCACTGCAAAAGTAATATTCAGACTGGTGATAGTAAGATAATTGAGTCTATCCACTAGACGTTGATATCTTCTCGGGTCTTTCAATAACTCCTCGTGACTCGAAAGAAGCTTGATATTGGGATCTAAAGGAGTATCAATCGGACGACAATCAAGCATACCGGTTTCAGTTAGGATGTCTAATGCATATTTACGTTGGTTAATTGAAATGCCTGATGAGGACCGAGCAGCTTCAATACCTAAGAAGTATCTGAGTGGACCCAAATCTTTTGTCAGAATTTTTTTGAAAAGATGAGTTTTGAGTCACTGGATACCTTCTGTATCGTCTCCAGTGATAACAATGTCATCAACATAAACCACAAGAAAAATGTGTCGACCGATGGAAGAGTGAAAAAAGAAAATAGAGTGATTTGCTTCACATCTAGTCATACCAAATTGTATCAAGGCATAGCTGAAGCGACTGAGCCAAGCACGTGGAGGTTGTTTCAACCCATAAAGAGATTGATTAAGCTGACAAACAAATCTTGAATTACCAGGAATAGTAAAACCTGGAGGTTGATCCATATACACTTCCTCCTCCAATTCTCCGTGTAAGAAGGCATTTTTAATGTCCAACTGATGAAGCGGCCAATGATTAATAGCAGCCAATGCAAGGAAGAGACAGACTGAACTGATCTTGGCCACTGGAGAAAAGATGTCACCATAATCAAGGTCAAATATTTGTGTGTATACCTTGGCTACTAAACGAGCTTTAAAATGATCGATTTGACCATCTGGTCCAATTTTCACTGTATAAACCCATCAGCATCCCACTGTAGTTTTGTCTGGAGGTAAAGGAACAATGTTCCAAGTGTTATTTAAATTAAATGCATCCATTTCTTGCACCATCGCCTGACGCCAATTGGGATCAGTCATAACTTCATCTGTAGACTTAGGAATAGACACAGAATCCAAAGGAGACAAAAAAGAAACATAAGAAGTAGAGAGACAGTCATAATTTAAAGCACAACCATATTTAGGATTTGAATTATGAGATCGAATACCTTTTTGTAATGCTATTGGAAGGTCAAGTTCAGGTGACGTAGATGGAGGAACAGTTGGAGTATGAGATGGTGCTGGTGGACCAATATCATCTATAACTACCAATGGACGTGATGTGTGTTACTGATATACCTGCAAAGGAGGTTTAATGGGTGTGGGGGTGATAGAAGGGACATCTTGATCATCTAAATTACAAATCTCATGGGAGGACGAAGAGGTAGAGAAGAAAGGGGAACTTTCAAAGAATGTAACATCGGAGGAGACAATGTATCGTTGAAGTTGAAGACAAAAAAAAATGATATCCCTTTTATATACGTGAGTAGCCTAGAAAGATACATTTAAGAGATTTAGCGGAAAGTTTGTCTTTACCTGGACTAAGATCATGAACAAAGCACGTGCAACCAAACACGTGAAGGGGAATGAAGTAGAGATCATGTTGCAGATTCAAGATAGAGTATGAAATCTGATCTTGAAGGACCGATGAAGGAATTCAGTTGATAAGGTGACATGCGGTAAGGAGAGAATCACCCCAAAAACGAGAGGGTACATTATAGTGAAGTAAAAGAGATTGTGCGATTTCAACTAAATGACGATTCTTCCATTCAGCAACACCATTCTGTTGTGGTGTATGAGCACATGATGATTGGTGAATAATTCCCTTTAATGTTAAAAGAGATTGAAATTGGGATGACATGTATTCACGAGCATTATCTGTGCGTATAATTTTAATGGAAGTGTTAAACTGGTTTTTAATTTCAGCATAAGACTCTTGAAATATACGGAAAACATCTGAACGATTTTTCATTAGAAATAACCAAGTGAATCGTGAGTATTCACCGATGAAAGTTACAAAGTAATAGTATCCTAAAGTAGACCTCATACGACTAGGACCCCAAATATCAGAGTGAACTAAAGCAAAAGGTGATGCA